CTGCTGCTGCCACTGCCACCTCTATAGAAGTGCTTGTCTGATTTATAAGATCTTATATCCAAACAGCAGTTTTGTTGCAACTTAGCACACATTTACTCTGCATGAGGAATGTACCATTGTGATACTCATTTTAGCTGTGGCAGTGTCATCAAAGTTTGACAACTTAGCTCCCCCCCCCTTTTGCTTCTCCTGCTGTGTCTTCATCCCATGCTTCAAGTTCACTTCTCCGCCATCTCATAGGATGTACAATATCTTAGAACCTGTGGAGAAAATGAACAACTGGCAAGACTAGGAAAGAAAAACAGTCTGAAAAAGTAATGGCTGTGGCATCTAGGAATACATAGCTCTATTCACCAGGTAACCCTCAAAGAGTGGCAACTTCACAACTAGTTGTTGATTTAGCATGCCACACTAGGTGCTCAAAGAAAAAGATAAAGAGATTCCACTTGGCTACATAAGTTCTCATATGAGCCTAAATAGCTGTTTGGATTCTGTGCATTTACCTGTGAATTTATATGAAATCATTTAGTACAAATTAATTCCAGAATCCAACACTCCCTCAGATATTAAAAAATAGTGTTATAGATAAACTGCCCTAAGAGCTGTCTCTCAATAGGCTTTTCTTGATGATTAACAATTGTCATGGATAGCTCTCAGCTGATAATCAATTATCACCTGGACGTGTAATGTAAGTTAAACCTGTCTGCTCATGTTTTTCCAAGCTTTCTACTTGCTTATCCTGCATACACAAATAGCTATATACAATATACAAATAGCTATTACATCCAGCGGTCTGTGATCCAAGTGGTAGAGGGTTTATCCCATAGCAGCAGAATGAAGCATCTCCATCCTGCTCAGACCACATGTTGCAGATGATTATTTTAAATTGACCTTGTTACTTTCTGCTTCAAGCCCCCCAAAAGGTTCACCCAGTAAAGGGAGGCAACAATGCATAAAGCAAGTTTAGATTGGGAGTTCCTGCATGGCAGGGGGGTTGGACTGGATGACCCTTGTGGTCTCTTCCAACTCTATGATTCTATGATTCTATGATTCAATCAGCATTCAGATTTCAGTTGCAAGTTTTCATACAGATGTGTGTGTACGTGCTTTCAAGTCATCTGCCAACTTATGGTGACCCCCAATCATTTTGTAAGGTTTTCTTAGATAATAATAATATAATAATAAAAATTTATTTATATCCCACCCCTTTGAGATCAATCAGGGCGGCTAACAGCAATAAAATACACACACGCACGAAATCTAATTCCCTCCCCCCCTTAAAAAGTTATTAAATTGATTAC